ATACTAACATCCAAGCCTTCCAATTTCCTGAAACCTTTCTCATCGGTTAAGGAATTAATTGGATGTTTACATAATTGGATTTTAATTACAATTAATTAACTTAATTATTATCTGAACAATCATTATCATATTTATGTTCCCATGTTTAGCCGATACCCTTTCTTCTTTTTCGGTTTCACCTCTTTGATTTTATTATGACTATTAAATATTTGGTGGAATGCATAGCTTTTCCTTTTAATTGAGGCAAGTTCTTTGAGTTGTCTTCTTCGATTGTAGTTTTTTTTCTGATGATTAGTTTATTCAAAAACTTCATATAGTTTGCCTTTTGATACTTCTAATTCCAAAAACTGACTAATTGTATTGTTTTTCTTAGTAGATCCCAGAGATTCTATCTCTGGTTAAAGTACAATTTGAGATAACATTGTCACTTTCTAAAATAATCAGAAAAGCAATTTTATCATCTTCTCCTCCTCAGTCAAGGTATTATCTTTTTATTTAAGTCAAATAACCTTATTTCTCATGAATTTTCTCCTATTATTCTTGACTCCAGGGATCTGTTGACTACATTCCAGCAGTTATGGTTCAAGTAGTTAGTTTTTCATGTAATATGATTTGGAATTCAGCTTGTGTTTATTTTAATTAGAAATTTTATGATTGTAAAATTTATTAACTTATAATTTTGTACTTCATTGAAACTAAAAAAGAAAATTAATCATGCTACATAGTACTAAGATGTCATTTGCACTCTATTTGCTTTCTATGTGATCTCGTTCTTGTATTATACTATTTATATAGTTTCAAATACAAAAAAATTACGAAACCGTTTGGATTAGCTGTTTTTGGGGTTGTTTTTCGAAAACAGCACTGTAGCATTTCGTTTTTCAAATACAAGTCCGTTTGGATTAGTTGTTTTTGGGGTTGTTTTTCAAAAATTATATAAAAAACTTTTACTGTAGATGTTTTATAGATTATTTTTAGATGTATTTTTAAAACATATTTTCGAGTATTTTTATAATGTATAATTTTTAAATTTTTATAACAATATACAATTATACATTTATAAATATTTATAAATAAATATATTTATATAAAATTATATAAATGTATTATATTATATATAATACATAATATAAATATATTTATAAATGTATAAATTATAAATGAATATTATATAAATGTATAATTTATAATTTATAATTTTTATATTTTTATATTTATATACATTTATGCATTTATAATACATTTATAAATATTTATAAATAAATATATTTAAACATTTATGAATAAATATATTCATATATTTATATATAAATGTTTAAATGTATATTACTATAAATATATAAATTATAAATGTATATTATAATTTATAATTTATAATTTTTATGTTTTTATATTTATATACGTTTATGCATTTATAATACAATTATAAATATTTATAAATAAATATATTTAGATATTTATGAATAAATATATTTATATATTATTATAAATAAGTAAGTGTATTATATATATAAATAAATTTATATATTATATATAAATAAATAAGTGTATTATATTTATTTATTTATTATATATTATATTTATAAATAAATATATAAATGTATTATAACTGTATTATATTATATATAATACATAACATAAATATATTTATAAATGTATAAATGTATATTATTATAAATGTGTATAAATTATAAATGAATATTATATAAACGTATATTATAATTTATAATTTTTATGTTTTTATATTTATATACATTTATGCATTTATAATACAATTATAAATATTTATAAATAAATATATTTATATATTATGTATAAATAAATAAGTGTATTATATTTATAAATAACTTTATATATTATATATAAATAAATAAGTGTATTATATTTATTTATTATATATTATATAAATAAATAACTTTATATATTATGTATTATGTATATTAATATAAATGTATAAATGTATTATATTATATATAATACATAATATAAGTGTATATTATAAATATACATAAATATATATATTATGTTTAAATGTACATTTTTATAAATGTTCAATATATATAATATATATTATGTATATATTAAATATATATAATGTTATATATTATATAACATTTATATAAATGTATAATAACACATTTATAATTTATATAATATATAATATTTATATAAATATATAAAATTATATTTTATGTAAAATAAAATATTTATAATATGTATAAATAAATATATTTAAATTAATATAATATATATATCCTATACATAATTGAAATATATAAATTGAAATAAACATATTAAATATGTATTTGGAGTTGTTTTTGATATATTGTTTGGATATGGTATTTTTGGAGTTGTTTTTGAAATACACATTTACTGTAGCATTTGGATTGTGAAAAACAGTTTTTCAAAAACAAGCCCAAAAACAAGAATCCAAACGGACCCTACTTTTTTATGCTATCTAAAAGAATTTGTAGTGAAACTTGATGAATTTAAATGTTTTAGCTACAACACCATTTTGATTGCATTGTATTAATTCATTTACTCATAATTGTATATTGTACAATGATAAATAATGTTCTTGATTTGATTGAAACATCTATTATCCATAGTTCAAACGAGTCAATTAAGTAGAGATGTTATATTGGATACTTATACAAGTAAATATTATAAAATATCATTAAGCAGTTTTTACCTATAGTTTGCAATTCGAATTCATATGAGGAATTTCTTCTGATTTTAGTTACCATTTCCTACAATTTCAAATTTAGAAAATATTATTTGCACCAATTTTTTATAATCAAGATGGTTTCAATTCAAATCTTTAACAATTATGCAGATTTGAACTTATTTATGAGATTACAAAGAAATGTCCCTAGCAAAAAACACCAAATCTGAATAATTTCTACAAAACTTTGAAAAAGACCACTTAAATTTCTTATCTATCTATCATTTTTTGGCATTATTATCTCTGTAAGAAACATGTGATTAAGTCATATTATACCCACCAAATTATATAAATAGTTAGTCAAAAATAAAATTATTTTAGATTAGATTGGACGCAAAGTGATTGATGGATAAACTTGACTTGATAATTCGGGTTGAGCTTAAGTCGAGGGATAAATCAGAAGCATTGCTTGAGGGATCTTTCACGAACATATATAGATTCGAGAGATGAAGGGTCCAATGGATACTTTAAAATGTTTTATCATCTTGAATAAGTTTTAGAAGAGACATTTGGATACTTTTCAATTGCACTTCAAACATTCTTACATTTTCAAATTACCCTTATCTTTACAGTTAAAATTCAAACATAACCTTTGATCACAACGGATTCTTATATAGTATAACGATAAGGATATTTCATTGCACATTATTTTTATTGACTCACTATGTAACTTATGATTTTTCTATTAAAATCACATGATAAAATCATCATACTTCAGTTCCTATACTACAAAATATTAAACAATAATTATTAATTATCTTGAATCACAAGCACCAAATTCCCGCGCGTCGCGCGGGCTGTCCCTTCCTAGTAATATTTATATTTTAATGAATCATGCTAACCAAATAGACCCCATTAATGTTAAATAGGGATGGCAGTGGGTAGAGCAAAATTTGATACCCGCAAGTACTCTATCCAATGGTTAATTTGATTGACAGTCAATGGATAACTTGTTAGGATTTGATATTAATGAGGGGTTGCCGATGGATAATCTGATAGTATTTGAAAAGAGAATCCTAAAACTCGTTTTCCAATACTCGACACACACACACATGACACATGTGTGTGTGTGTCCAGGAATTGATACCTTTAGAGCACACTTATTTTCTTTAATTTGTATTCAGTTGGAGCACATGTTTATCTTGTAAACTGTTTTTTGTCACGTTTTATGTACAATTTCTTGCTGGAAAATGTAAGATAGTTGTTTGAATCTTATTTTGGAAGACTATTAATTTACCCTTCATAAAATGTTGAATTTTTCTACGGCTCTATTCAAGTTTAAACTTCAGTGTAGTGTTTTGACTTGACATGATATGTATTGGTTTTAGTATGATAAAAATTAATTCCCTTTTTCTAAACTATTCAAATTAGCAGTTAGAGGACGCAGGATGGAAGTGAGAGGATTTGGTAATAAGAGTTAAAAACTCGTAAAGTTACTTGATAAATATGATAAAAGATTTAGATATGCAGATTAATATTTGATAAGAGAAATTTTTGAGGGTATGTGACCGCTGCCATCCCTAATGTTGAGTTTTGGCAGACACATCAGCATGTATGTCAATCACAGACCGAGTAGATATGACAGTAAATGAATGCATGCAACGACATTTATTTACCGTAAATAAATAGAGCAAAAGTTGGGAGTTCGTGTTTTTAAGGAGGTTGCACAAGCTTTTCTGCTCATCCATAAATAGGTGGAGGGAACGAGAAAAATTAGCATTGAATTGATAAAAGTGATTCTTCCTTTTTAAGGAAAGACAAATGATGTACTCCTCCCGAAAGCCTTGATATTAACCTATCAGGCACTCTGCCCAGCTATTGCTTTGCAATTTGTTACCTTTTCAATGGATTCCTAACATTCTTTTACAGTTGCATCAGCGTGGACTCTCTCAAACGCGATTAAGCAGATATAGATTTAAGCTTAAGCTCTTCATCTGTTACATGTTTGAATTCGTTCTCAAATTATTACTTATGCTGATAAGGAATGGATGCATTCACAAATGAAGTGTAAAATGCAATTTTCTACTAAGTTTCACCCACCTCAAAATTTTGAGCTAAGAAGGAGAAACTGTATTATAGGCTTGCCACAATATTCTCTTAGTGAGCATAGTTATCCGAGAAGAGCAAGTATCAATTAACTTTCCCGATGCATATTAAATTTCCATACCAACCCATCCCCCCCACCAAAACCGCAAAACCCAGCTTTGATTGAGAAAAACTAATATTACATCGCACATAAAAAACTACCTTACAGAAACCACTACAACAGCATAAATTTTTTTTTTTTTTTTTTTTTTTTGCATATATACATCGAAATTTGGACGCCAAAAACTACATACATGGCTTTATCTGAATAGCAAGATTATGGATAATCAGAATTAGAACCTTGGCTTGGACGTCATTATAAAGCAGAAATGCATAACTCAGTTAAAGTACTTACGAATCGAAGTAGATGAAATCAAACCTTCCAACTGAAGGTTTCTTAACACTTCAGACAGTAGAGTTCACAAATTCATTTTGAAACCTTCTATCCTGGTTATGTTTCCTGCTCAGCAAGTGGAAAGCGTCTTTTGCATCAGCACCTTTTTCGCTTCTCCGGAGAGGCAGATAACTTCTCTACTCCGCTTTCAAGCTCTTTCTCTATCCAAGCCTCATTGCCTACTTCTAAATCAGCCTGTATGTCTGACTTCTTTTCTGTTCCCCTGTCCAATCTCCTCTTCTTTAATCTCTCTCTAATTCGATGTACATCCATTTTGTTGTAGCTAGCATCATATGCAGCACCCTTGGAACCCGAGTTCTGTTCAATTTGTCCCATTTTCAGCTCATCACCACCATCCTCAACAATGCTGTTTGCGCTACCACAATCACTTATCTGGCAACCTTCTGTTTCCTTGGCATTATTATGGACACCATTGCATGGCTGTGCTTGATAGCGTGTTGAATGAGCATCTGTTGAAGCTCCATCAGTGTCCAACAACGATCGATTGTTGGGATCTTGAGCAGCAATAGAACCATTTGATATACATGATTCTGGGCTACTAAGTGTTGCCTTTCCACTTGTAGATTTGGATACGGTTTTGTTACTTACTGCTGATGGCAATACCTGTTTCTGGTTCTGATCCAGCAATCTAAACATCTGCTGAATGACAACTGAAAATTTATGGGAACAAAGACATCAGCCCAGGGCAGTCACATTATTAAGTCCAGCTTTTTCTTTCTTTATATGATTTGGAATCTTGTTTCAAGAAACTTGATAAAAATTGGAAGCTTGAGCAAAAATTGGACCAGCAGTTCATAAAAATTCAAATGTGGACTACATCTTTAAACTCACAGTTTCTCCATAACAGACTGGAAGCTCCGTTTCTTAACAAATATATAACCAATTCTTTAAATTTATGAATCAACAAAATACTGATGGAGTATCCATGAACACAGATGGGAAAGTCAAAAAGACAGAAAGGAAAATACACACATAGGTGCACACAACACATGCATAACATACCTTCTAATTGTTTTGGTGAAACATCAAATTGCAGCCACCACACATTTCCTTTTGTTGTGGGCAGCTTCACCTTTTGAAGTTTTGCAGCAAGAAATAAAGAACCAGCCGCAATATAGTGTGGCTTGTACTGCAAACACAATGTTGTACGAAGCCTGCAGGTCCCATAAACAACAAACAGTCAAGGTCTTATGAAAAATAGAACTAATACATTTGTGAAACACATTAGACACAATGTCTACAGCATACCAATCATTCACAAAATTCCATGCCACTTTTACCAATTCCTTATGTGGGATATCCAACTTCTTTACAGCTGCAACAAGTGGCTTGTATGGGTGTTCAACATTGAGATCAAAAGCTAGTGTAGCCAGCAGAAGCCTTTCTCCAAGTACAACTGTTTCTTTCTGCTTATCATAAATATCCTACAGAAACAAAGATCAGGATAAGGACTCCCCAGAAATCAGATATGAAAGAAACACAAGCACTGAAAACGAAAGACAATGCTGCCATACCCTCTGCCTAATTCTTTGCGGAGCAAAAGGATCCCATTTATTTGCTAACTTATAAGCCACAACAACAAGATCACTCAGCCAGCGAGGCGTCTCTTCAGCTTTGCTGGCAAGGAACATGCTAGCAGTAGCAATAGTCTGCAAAAAACAAAACACAGCACTTAAAGTTGCCGCATATTACCAAAGAATGTCACCATTTAAGTACGAAAGAGGTTTGTGCCCGTGGTAGCTTTCTCCTTTTTCCATGCATGGAAGATTTGGATGTTTCAAGAAGCAATCTTCAACTCAGACAGATTGAACACTGACTAGCAAGATTCATTATTTTGGAGACCATTTTGCAGCAATAATATCAATTATCTGATGATACAATATAAAATCTCTTTAGGACCCAGCAGCTTTTTCCATAAATTTTGAGTTTAAATACTTCTATGAGCTAGCTCTCTGACATAAATCATGAATATCATTTTCGAAAGACATGGCTAAAATAACTTAAGCCCCAGAACTCTCGATGGTAGTGTTAATCCTATCTCATCTACAAACATAATAGAGGATCCATGTACTAAAAATTTTGCTGCAATGAAATTAATTTTCTATTTTTAGTTCAGGGAAATTCACAATGTTAATAATCAACTTTCTCATCCTGGATTCCATTTTAGTCAAAGTTATTAAGTAGCATGGTTCATTCTTTGAGAACACGTCAAACTAATACATAATCTTGCGTGCCTTTGCTTACAAAGTGCCATCCTATTCCAAATGCACAACCAAATCTCCAGAGTAGCCAGCTTCCTTTCATATCTTCTATCACCCAATCCGATTTAATTTAGCTTACGGTAACCCTCAAAAAGTACTTTGGGTTTGATGTATTGCATGAGTTACTGGCATGCTATGAATATGTGTTGGAAAATTTCAACCACAAAACAAGAACCTTACATCTTACTTCTTCGCCTTTTATATGGACAAGTTTAATATTGAATCCTTGTATACCATCCCCATATATCATACAGATAGATAAGGTACTAAATGAGGACATAACTATGTCCTTGTGTTCTATTAAAGTCATAAATTGTTTAATACATGCATCATTGTGCTTGCACATTTTTGTCAACCTATGAATGTTTGTACATGCTTATAGGATCCTATGGAAAGAAATATGATGATGAACATTACATAAGTCCTCTCTGCTGTAAAGAACGAAGAATAATCAATGAGACCAATAAACTATAACTTTTACCTGCCAATAATTCTTTGCATGAGACTGACGCATATAAAACCGATGACAAAACAGCATTGAAGTTGCAATGGTCACCTGGGGCCTATAAAACAGAACAAGTACATCTTTAACCTGAAGCAAAAAAAGCAATAAAAAACCAAGCCCTGGACAAGCTTGAAGTGCCCAAGCTTGTCCAATAGAGCAAGGATTGAGTTAGTTATACATAAAATAGCAGTTGACTGTAATGGTTACAAAGAAAATGCCGGATACTACCATGGTCAAAGAATGTAGGCATGGTGGCGAAAATGGCAAAATTCTGAATTTGGTTCTAGAAAGGGTTAAGGAAATTGTCCCATGATGGGCTAGAGCTACATTTGAGCCTCAAGAAAACTCTGAGTAACCTGCTCATAAGCAGGAGAAGCCAAAGGGGGAAAGAATCTTCCTTCACTTTAACAGAAGTAGAGTAATACAGGATTCACTATACTAAGTCGTAAACACAAGCTCTTAGTTCAATGTATGATCATTCAACTTTAGCATTTGGTTAGGCCTGGAATTCTTGGGCTGATGTCCCACATCAGTTGCGGTCGATTGAGAAAACATGAGCTCAATCTCAAAGGACCAAGAGCTAGACAATGATGTATGAGGTTACTTGCACATAAGGTTTCCAAAATGGGGGAAATTGTTTTTTTTTTTTTCTCTGTGTGTGCCACTTTGTTCATGTGTGTGTGTGTGTGTTTTTTTGGCAAAGTAAGGCTTTCATTTACTTTCATATCAGGTACACTTCTTATTACCACGTGATACACTTCTTGACTAGATTTGGAGCTTACACTTTGAGCTCCATGCCAAGCTCTTGTAGATAGGAACAGTACAACTTCCGTGAATGCGACTCCTCTTTGTGGGAGATCCCATCCCTCCTCGATGGAGAATTGTCTTCTATTTCTTCTCTAGTGAAGTACCATTTGCCAGTGAAACACACAGGCTCCTCTTGCACGGGATTTATAGCTGAATTTCTTGCCCTTTCATGATAAGAAGGATCCCCTGGCAGTTTCCCTGCCATGGTCTCCCTCCCTTTTCAGTAGCTGATAAAGAAAAAAGATAATATCTTTTCAATAATGCGCCAATGACAGAAGCATTAGAATGGCAAGACGAAGACTTAATTCAATGCTACTAACACACTAGCAGACTCATAAATACACGTTGCTAAGGGACATTAAAAATCATTAATTACTTATGAAAATAAAAGGAAAAACGAAACAGAATAGTGACTAAAATTAGTGGTTTACGGATATTCAACAATAACCTAATATATAGTGAATTTACATAGCATTAACCATAACCAAGGAAATATTTCCAAGCAAACACAAAATTCTCACAGAATTTGCAATCATTCTCGAAGAGTTAGCAGCATGCAAACACATTAATGAAGCAGATGGTGATTCTTTTTGGTAATTCAACAGAAGTGTCCTTCTAAAGTCATGTGTTCTGACAAAGTTCCAACAATGTCCAAAAAAGATGATATCTTGAAGTGTCATCCGAATTAACATCCCATATTTGAATGCATTTTGCAATAAAAGAAAAGATGATGCAGTCTATTTGATGACTCTCCGGCAGGTTAATCCACCATCTATCTTCCTAACCAAGACCCCCCCCCCCAAAAATCCAAAAGAAACACGGACAAATAAACCAATTTCCAAGAATTATCCAATGAAGAATGAACAAGAGCTGAAAATAAGAGGCTTAAACCGGACAGTAAAACTTAAGCTCCATTTGGCTTTTTTTATCAGAATCCAAATCGGAGGTGTAGCCTATCCGAATTAAGTTTAAACAGAGCTTCTCAGCAAGTCATATGATAAATCTACCAAGAATATGCTAATATGCTAAACTGCATCAAGTTCTTGTTCGGGAAAAAAATAATAAAGAAGCAAAAAACATATCTAATATCCAAGCCCCAATACAACAGAGATAAGAATTAATTAGTTGATAACATATTTCAAAAGAACTAACACGTAGTAGAACAAAAAAGAGCAAATCATGATGCGACAGTACGGTAAAGAAGGAACCTGAAAGTGAACGGGGAACCGATGGTTGGAGGAATATTGGAGAGATTAAAAAAAAAAAAAAACCAAGAAGCGGCCGGCAACAAGGCAGTAAATGGGGAGAATTGAAGTCTGAAGCGGTGGAAGCCCTAGAAGAAAAGCCAGTAGTAGTAGTTGAGGTTACTTCAATTTTTTCTTACCGTTGGATGCGAATTTTATGGGAAGTTTCTTAAAATTCAGTTGGAATTTTCTGCCTTAAAATAGTACTCATATTAATATGGGCTGTTTGAGTCGTTGACTCAACGCCTATTGTCTGCTACTCGGCTTAGGTTTGGCATTTATTTGGTCTTTAACTGAAGCTTCTCAGCAAGGCGGCAATTGCTACTTCTGATGTAATCAATCCTATCTAATCTGAGATTTTTTTTTTTTTTTTTTGGAGCGGGGGGAGGGGGTGGTTTTGCTTCTTTTTTTTGCAACAATGAAATTACTAAAAATAATACAATAAAATTAGATTAACACTCAGAGGTAATCGAAATTTTGATACAAAACACAATCTAAGGTGGAACCCGTAAATCAACACCATCCAGCCAATTCATTTTGCTTCTGTCACATCTAATTTATACACAGCTGACTCTTTGTCAACGTGAGCATACGATTAAGGCATTTGCTTATTTATGGCAAATATTCATTGGCAATTGTCAATTCTTTTTTTTTTTAAATTTTTGGACTAAAGCGAAGTAAATGCTATTTTTGTTTTTTGCTGAATACTACTACATGTTAACTAACTAGGGAAGCAAATCCAACCTCGACTTCTTGTCTCTAATATGCACTTACTTATAAACTTGTTTGGATTGCTGTTTTCTACAAAAGATTTTTTTTTTTTTTTGTATTTTGTGTATTTTTTTTTTTATAAAAACTACTAAAAATAGCATTTCAAATAGACTCTTGAATATAAGTTTGTTTGGTGATTGAATGCAATAAATTGTTTATTCTTTTTATTGATCTGAAGATTACTTGAAATTTTTTTCTTTATTCACTATGAGATTAATGCAAACAGGTTACTTATTACCTCTATTTTTTTTTTTCAAAGAATAGTTGATATGTTTGAATTGAAGACTCATATAAATTGCAATTCAAACACATCCAACTGAATGTACTATTTCGACCAACCTCAGGTATCTCACATTAATCATGTATATGATGAATGGTTAGTAGGAGTTATATTTAGTAAGAATTGTGGAGGGTGTATTGTGAAAAATATATATCTAGTCATAACTCTTTTTCTTTTTCCTAAGGTATTTTGCATTCTTCAAAGATTCATTAATGAAAAGATATTCTTTTCTTTTTATAAAAAGTGGATTTTTTTTCATGCAAAAAGAAAGGAATTCCAATACTTTCTTTGGTTGTTTTTGTGATATGATATCTATTATGACAGCTATTATATTGTTCACTCAGCATGTTGTTGTGTCTTTTGCCGAGCAAGGCTTGTTTGGCATCCAAATTTTTGGCCATGTTTTTAATAAACAAGACAAGAAAGACAGAGAAAAAGAAAAAGAAAAAGAAAAAGAAATTTTTTTCTCCAAGTCTTATACAAAAGTTTTTCTATAATTTTTACAAAAGTACAATTTTATATAGATAACCAGAAAACTCCCAATCCAAACGGGTGACGTTTGGTTATAAAAAAATGAGAAATATTGGTCTGAACTTAAACAAATCTTGGTCACACTTTTGGATCCTGGGGATGCGTACATTCCGAAAATTGAATTCGGAAGTGACTTGCGGACGTCCCATTATTACAGGCCGTAGAGTTGGATGGGTTGGCCCCACTGCTCTGGTCAGTCGCTATCATTCATACTTTGGGCTATTGTCGAGTTTCCACGCAAGATTCCTTCGCCCGCCACTTAACGCCTTCCACCGTGCCCTGGTTGAATGCTTGCTCAAAGACTTGGGCCGTTGTCTCCCCCACGTTCCTACTAGATAAACATATAGATTGAAGTCTCCTAAATTCAGCCCATCTAGTGGGACGCTATCTGGATGCACCTGGTTCAATTTTCAAGTCATCCTCCATGCACTTTCCTCTTATAAGTTTTTTTTTTTTTTTTGGTTTAAACCTCCCACCCCCTTTCAGCTTTCTAGCCTTGTTTGGATTGCATTTTCTAGAATTTTTTGTAGAAAAATTACTATAACAATTTGATGTATGTGAGGAAAAAAATATAATAGAGAAATGTGATCATAAAAAATGATGCAATTTTTCCGACGGAAAATAACTGTCCAAACGGGGCTAGGCTTAGGATTCAAAACTTGAACCTGGAAATGAGAAGAACTCTTAAGGATTCTTCTTTGGCCCCTTCTTATAAGAGTTTCAAATATTCCTTAAATCTAGGAATAAACTTCTAGAGAAAATTAATCAATATCCCACTAAGTTGCGATGTGCCTTCAATCTCAATCTGATTGAAGAAATGAAAGAGAAATTTTGTAGTTCCATGCAAAATTGAGATGATGAAGGCTTCAATGGAACCCTCTCTTTAGTTGCTTTAGCAATATCCGGTTTTAAATTTCTCTTAGACTGCGTTTGAATTGAGGGATTTGATGAAAGATTTGAAATACTCACAAGTGTGAGTAGTTGTTACAATTATTTAGTAGGTATTTGAATTATAAATCACCTATTATTCCAATATTTAAAATGTATTTTGATAATTAGTGAACTACAAATTCAAACATTTCTTAAATAATCCAAATAATCAGAGTGATTTGTGCGAATACCAAATTCTTCGTCCAATTTCCCAATCCAAATGAGATCCAGTCCCCGCGGCCATACAGGTATAGCGCGACATCTAAATTAGCACTGTTAAATGTTGACATTTTAAAGCTACACTTTATATGGGCTTTAGATCACCAAATCCATAATAGACCTAACGAGACCGAGCATCCTTTGTCTCCCACTACCTAAGTGGCCAAAAAATGCCACATTTAAGTGGTTTGTTTCTAAAATATCTAAGCGGATGTGCTGTACATCCGTTTGGTCCGATGGTGGCTCAGTCTCCTCCGAATTACCCTTGGACCTCCCTAGGTTCGCCCCCCTTAGTGTCGCCCCCCCTTAGTATATGATAGAATAGGTTTATCGTCTCCGAAAAAAAAAAAGAGACCGAGCATCCTTTGTCGGTCCGACAGATGGCAAAATGAAGAACATAATGTTCACTACAGCATAGAGAGAGAGAGAGAGACCGTTCCTTGAAAGTAATGTTTTTTAAACTCGAACCGGAGAGTAAACTGAAAAATCTTTCGGTTCACGGTTCAATCGGTTCAAAGATTTAATAAATATTTTATTCATTTTAGTATTAAGAATTTTGAATAAAACTAAAACATTTATTTTAGAAAATAAATACTTAATAAAAATCTGTCGAACCTTCAGATTTTTATCGATTTTTACCGGTTCAACCGGTTTTTGATCGGTTGTGACAAGTTCAATTAATCCTTTAATTTTTGTAATTGAATCGCACCGGAAGCATGATCGATTTGTGATTCAACCGGTTGAACCAATCGATTTGGTCCGATTTTCAAAACATTGCTTGAAAGTAACAACTTTTATTCATTTTATTTTCGAGTAAACCGAAATGCGTCAAGTTAGATCCACTGGTCAAATACGTGAAGACGCCATTAGTGTCTCATGGAGTAATGAGTATCCTACTGAATATTCGAGTAAAACTTTTAATTCAAATCTTTGCTGCAAATGACTTCATGATGGTCGTAATTATGTGATCTCTTAGTTGGAAAGGCGAAAGTAAATTGGTTGGTTTGAATAGCGCGTGACAGTCCTCACCAAATAAATAAATAACTAATTGACTTTTGGTTGATGAAGGTGCGGTTTGTCTTTCATTACTTTTCTGAGAGTGTAAAATCTTTTTTATTTTTTGAGTTTAATCATCATTAGTGTTAAGGGCATATTCAGTTAATGTGCAATTAAAAAAATAATTTTATATAAGTTTAATTTTTTACATGAATTCATCGTAAAAATCTTTGGTTTAATACAATTTGTTATAATTAATTTTATATAAACTAATAGTGTATATACTATTAGGCCTAGATGCATGACAAATAATGTTAATTTGAATTTGAAATCTAAGTGTTATGTATGTAATATGCATTTAGGTTGAATAGTGCATACATTTTCAGTGTATAGTATATAAAAGATTACTTTTATTTTTAATAAGGTTATCATTAATTTGGTAGCTAGGCATGATGTTAAGGAAAAATTATGCTGACAAAACGTGATTATGTAGTTAGAGTAAAAATTTCTAAGGGTATATATTCAAAATTTAAAAAATGGCAAAATATATTTACACCCTATTCGAGGTTCTTTTTTATACATAGTATAGATATTCTCTTGTGCTATAAAAAAAAAAAAAAAGACATTCTCTCTTAAAATACGAGAATGAACAGAATATTGATTTTATTTATCCCAATGCTCTCTAACGCGCTGCATCACCAAACGTGGCAAAAGGCATTCTAGACGCTTGTTCGGCCATAATTTCGTCAAGTCGACCTTATGTTTTAGGTATATATACAGACAATCAAGCAACAATATATTCCAATCTGACTTAAATTGATTCTCCACCTTCGCGAGTCAACGACAAAATCGCAACCGAAAGTGGGGCATCATTCCTGAGGATGATTAGCGACTGGTTATACAGTAGTAAACATGCTCGAAGGCCAGATAATCAAAGCCTGTAGATGCTACGTATAGATAGGCTACAACTGTTATCTTTGAAGCTCTGAAGTAAATATCTTAACTAGCTAGCTACATTGTCCAAAAAGATACTATTCAAATAAGCTACAATTCAGAACTGTTAAAATTGTATGAAAAAATCTAAGAAAATATACTGCTAGCTTGATTAAAGTAATATTGAATAAAAAATATGGCCCCAGATTGTAGAGGTTTCGGGTTCTAATATACTGTTTCTTCCCTATTTCTTAAATTTCACTCCTTTCTTGTTAGAATTTTTTTTTTTAAAAAAAAAAAGTAATAATGAACACAAGAGCTAGCTACTTAGTTGTTTTTTTTTTTTTTTTTTTGGATAAGAAGCATTTTACAAGGTAGTTTTTTTTTTTTTTTGTGGCAAAGAATATTACCTTAAACAACACATTTCTCATTCTCATTCTAAAACAATCCCATGGTTTTTTTAATACCCTTTGTATTGCTTCACAATCATGTACTTTAATTTGTTTAACCATTGAATTGGCTTTGGCGTACATACATAGATTTCTTCTCTTAATT